CGACGTCGTGGCACCAACCGGCCCGAGTGCATCGTGTCACTGGCTGGCGCTGGAGTGGAGGTTGCGTTCTTGATGTTCGACGTCATGGGTGTCAAGCCTCCTAAATCAGGAAAGGCGCCGGCCAAGACGGTGCTGAAGAAGTACTTGGACGACCCAACCGCGCTTCAGAAGGTCTGGGGACACTGGAAGAAGCTCAGGGTGAACCGGCCTGCGCGGGACAATGCCAACGATGCCTGGAAAGGGGCCAAGGTCCTCTGGGACGAAGGCGTCCTAGAGGAAATGTTCCAGGCGGCCATTTCAGGGCTGGGTTGGATCGCACTTGCCTCGATGATTGCGCAGTTCGGCGCCCAGGTTACCCTCATGTTCGTCACAGGCGGAGCCGCCACCGTCATCAAGATTGCATTGTTGATCCCAGCCGCCATAGACCTCTGGAATGCTTTCACTGACGTCAACTCCAACTGCCTCTAGCAGTGCATATTCCATGCCAATCCTGCGAACTCCCAAGCGGCGCACCCCAGCGGGCGGCTGTTCGGTGCGTTGCAACAGTTTTAAAGGAGTCTGCCATTTAACTACTTTCCATCCCAAGCACAATTTTGGCCAGAGTGCTGTAGCCTGAGAAGGCAGCCGGCAGATTAGAAACGGCTTGTCGCGACAGAATGGTGCACGATCTCCATGCGCCTGGGGGTAGCTGACCGATGCGCGACTTGCTTCGCTTACCCAGATCCCTAAACCCTACATAAACCCTAAACTGCAGTTATAAGTATCAGACATCCCAAAACCTTTCTCGCTGTATGAAGGCCCCCTTTTTCTTTTGGGTCCATAGACATTCTTGGCCAGGCCTGCGACCCCGTTGCAACAGCGGCGGAACGTTGCTCGGCCAAGTGTGAGCGTTCAGACCTCGGAGAGAAGGCCTAGGGCTGAGAAACCCGTCCTTGGTTTTCCATGGCCAAGGCGTCCTTTCCAGCAGCTTCTTACGAGGCTGTTCCAGAGGTGTGTCGCAACGTTAGTTTGCTGCATGCTCACACCTCATGGTGGAGTTGGTGTGGCGAGGACACTCTGGACATGTACATGCAGAAGTTGGCCAGGCCTGTGCCGAGTAGCATTGTTCACGGGCTTCTGTCTGCAGTTTTACGCTGTCGTGACTCACTGAAGGTGCCTGCCTCAAAATGGGGCTCGCTCCCTGTTGATTCGGCGCTTGTCTCGTGGAGAGTACGAGGCAGCGTGTGGACTGCAGACGCCTGGGAGTTTACAGACGAACCGGTACAAACTTCCTGGCGCATAAACCCATCATCATCATCATCGTTGGTATTGACTGCAACATCACGAAAGTACTTAAACAGTACGTCATCATGCCCCACCCCCACCCCCCCCTCCCCCACGCTTCAACAGTGGTGGTTGGTAGTGGACTACGACATCACGAAAGTACTGTAAATTCCGAGTAAAATAGATGTGCGCTTAAACAGTGTTTGGGAGAGGTAGTTGGTAGGGGGCGGCGCCTACTGCTACCACTACTACTACTACTACTACTACTACTACGACTACTACTACTACTACTACTACTACTACTGCTACTGCTACTGCTACTGCTACTGCTACTGCCACTGCCACTGCGACTGCTACTGCTACTGCTACTGCTACTGCTACTGCTACTGCTCCTGTTGCCGCTTCTGCTGCTGCTGCTACTACTACTACTCCTCCTCCTGCTGCTGCTGCTGCTGCTACTGCTGCC